TATATATATATATAAAAGAATTTTATACTATGTAAGAGCATGTTACGTGAATGATACTTGCCTGTAGTTCAAATATGTGAAATCAAAATTGATATGAATAAATTTACAAACTACTTTCAGTAATAATCAAATCACATTTCAAGAGTTGTTTAGTGGTTTGTGATATTCGGTTTCATAGTTACGAATACAAGAATCAAGCATTTATTTTGTGTGATAATTAGAAAAAAAAAAGATAGATAATAGGAACTTGAGAAAATGATGTAAAAAATATTTGCTAATTTTCTTAAGCTCAAATAACACAATGTATTTACATGTATATACAGCTTAATTTGTCTCGAATTTTTTTCATAGACAAAAATGTTTTAATTCGCAGAAAGAAAGCGGGATACGAAAGAAGATGGCGAAAAGGCAGCAATAGCACTGCCAGATTTATGATTTACGTTAAGTCAGCGTTACTTGGACGCCAGACAATTCTTTTTCGACTTTACATTTATTAGAATCCTTTTGTTTGTTATGTATATTCATTGTGCACTGTGTACTCACTATGCTGTTGATATTTTGTCGTAGATCGTAAATTATAAATGATAATTTGTAAATCACATGAATTGCATGTTACCTCGTTTACACGCATCGTCCAAGCTCACGTGTTATCGGTGTGCATATAAGCGCAGTTTCCGGCCAAGTCCCCCGACTGTCAACCACTATTGCGCCTGTATAGTCTACGTATACGTGCTAAGCATTAGCGCAACGTATGCAAGTGCGCTAATTTATTTGTCGTTTGTAATCACAAAAAAACCGTGATTATGGTCTCAACTTCCTTTACTACCGTTCCAAAATAATTATTAATTGCAATCATAAATGTAAAAAATGTTGCAAGAAAAGAATGTTACGCGACTTTTAATTATACTTTCGGGAAACATCGGTACAATTGTCATTGTCATTGCGTGGTGCATACGAAATCGTAGTTGTACAATTCGATTTGTTTTCTCTCTACCACCACAATATTTAGCGTATATATATATA